AAAACTTTAGATGTGATACTCAAAATTTCCAGTGTAAAACAGGCTAATTGGTGTTGTTTAACAACATAATGTGATGTTTTAAAACACCTCAGGTTGCTTTCTGCGCTCCACTCTGAAGCTCCCCTTGCGTTTGGTTCACCCAGGAGATGGACAAAGAGGTGAAACCAGTTCTGTAAGGTAGACCAACTAAAATGTGTCTTCTGGTTGGTTGGTTGGTTGGTTTGTTCATTTATATGTTTGGCTGGTTGACTGGGTTTTTGTTTGTCACTTTTGTTGGCTCAGTGTTGGTATTGCTCCCATGTGGATCTTGGGGGAATGGTTTTGATGTAACAACGCTTTTAAGGTTGCACTTAGATGGACTCGGTATTACTAGAATGTGGCATCAGCTCATGAAGCTAATCGGGAGGACAGAGGAAAGTGGACTTCTTCCCATAGTGCATAGTTAAACTATGGAGCTCACTGCAACAGGAGGTAGTGATGACCAGCAATCTGGCTGGCTTTCAGAGGGCACTGGACATATGCACAGAGGAGAGGGCTTCCAGGGGCTTCCAGTGTGGATGCCTATGTGCTACCTCTGGTATCAGAGGCAGGATGCCAGCATGCGCCAGTGAATGGGGAGCCTGGGAAAGAGGGAGCGGTTGCATTCACATCTGCCTGAGGGATCCTGCAGGCAGATGGCTTCCCGCTGTATGAACAGGGTTGGACTAGATGGACCTTTGGTCTGATCCAGCATGACTCTTCTCATATTATATGAGCTGGTTTGCTATTACAAATATGATGCATGTTCACTCTTGTCTTATTTTGTATATTTATATTCATATTTATATTTGAGGCCCTTTTCAGCCTTCCTTAGGCTACATGTGTATATATGGGAATGTTTCTAAAGTGGGGGAAGAGCAGGAGACATGAAAAGAAGCTGTGATATGATTAGAGCTTCCTAAGCAATGACTCTGAAGCATATGAACTGATGGTGCTGTCTTGAAGGCATCCAGGGCTGATGTCAAGGATAGGCATGGTCAAGTACCTGCCAGGGGCCCACATCCCAGCAGGGGCCCACTGACAAAAGCTGCCTGGAGTTGTTCATCCTCTTTACCATGGTAACCTGCTTATTCACCTGCCTTTTGCTCTGGTGAGGCCGTGGCAGAGGCTGAAAGGAGGAGCAGCAAGTGGTAGCCATGATGAGAAAGAGGAGGAGGAGCAAGATTGGCTGGTGACAATGGTGGCGAGAGGAGGCCCATGGAAGGTCTCTTACCCAAGCGCCTTCTATCACCTGAAGCCAGCATGCATAGGAACCTATCGTCAGTTACTAAAGCCTCTTGGAGCATTTCCTTCTCTTCAGCACTGAAGTCAAAGACTAGATGGACAACTTCACAGCTTGACCACAGAGAAGGCCAGGCTAGCCTTGCTTGCCCACCTGTCTTTTGCTCTAGCCCAGGCAATGGTGGGGGCAAGTATGAGGAACAGGAGAGGCTGTGCTTCCTCCCTCCCTGTCTCTCTGCCTCTCAGGCAAGCAAGTGGCAGTCATGACAAGAAAGAGGAGGAGGCTGTGACATTATAGGCTTTATACACTTTCTGAGGGAGGGCACCCAAGGAAGGTGCCTTGCCGGACAGTTTTAGAACGTCTGGAGTTGGCACTGCTGACACTGTTTCACTTGCTCACATCTCTGTGCATGCTTGTTGTGTGTTTGTGGGCAATTAGGTATAGCCAGAAAGCTCTTGTTTAGACTAGTCTTGTGTTCTACAAATGGCAGAGATCAGGAACTGCTGGGAGATGTCTGGATGGCATGAAACATTAAACCACTTGGGTCTTTCTTAAAAGCAGACATGACCTTCCAGATGTTGTTAAATTGCAGCTCCAGGCACTGCAGCTCACTAAACTTTTCTGGTGAGAGCTGATGGCATTAGCAATCGAACACCATCTGGAGGGCCACACATTTCCTATCTCTGTTGTAAAGAGCCATTTCTGAGCTGGAAGAGGCAGTGCTGGATTGGATGGTTTAATGGTTAGACAGTGTTATATGTTCGTACACTCCTTACTCAGAGTTTACATTTCCTAGCAGCTTAAGGCCAGTTTTTCATGATTCTTTCTGTGTGTGAAGACCAGGTCTCCCAGGAATATAACACTAGCTCTTCATTAGCTATCAACCCCTCAGATTTCTCCCTTCAATTTGAACTGAACTGAACTGCAGACCTCACATAGTATCTTGTTTCCTTTGTTTTGAATGGGTAAGGAAGACCTATTTGCTTTACCAAAAGCCTGCTCCTGGTGGAGAGCTAGAGTGGTTTGTTGATCAACCAGAGCTGCCTGAATTTTGAGCTCTCTGTGAGGGTACAGCTAAGGAGACGGGCATGTTGAACGCCTCTGTGGTCTACCTAAACATTCAGTCATAAACTGATGAACTGATTTGACCTAACCCTAATTAAAATTGTCTGTACATACTGGTATTAGAAAAAGCCTACTTAGATGCAGTATTGTTTGATAAAAGATGCCTAACCGTACATAGAGAGAGGGTGAGGTTCAGTCAGCGTGGTATGACTGGATGTGAAAGAGCCGTCTGCACTGTATTTAAATTAGATCCAAGAAGATTCCGGATAATGTGCACTCTTTGTTTATATAGCTGAAGTATTTTTATCCCACTTTTCAGCCAGAGAGACTCCTGAAGCAGCTTAGACAGAATTAGTGAAACAAAGCAGTCCCTGCCAGTGGGCTTTCAGTGTAAAAGGAAAAAAAGCGTGGAAAGGGAAATATTAAGCCTTTCAGCAGGGCTGGTGAAGTGGTCTCTTTTCCCTCTCTTATCTCTCTCAGTACATCCTGCTGAAATTGCTGCCAGTGGCTACAGTTTTTACAAAACTTCTGTGCTTCAGAAGTAGAGTTTTCCATACTCTCGGAGGTATAATTGAGAGAGATGATGTAATGCATAGCTGCTCTTTCTCCTTTCTCTCACCATGTTTTGCTTATTATTAGGTTGTGCGGGCTTGATGAAAATGGAAGAGTGTGCTGAGGAAAGAGAGTGAGACAGAAGGAGGAAAGCTTGTGGGTTAGGTATGAAGGCTTACTGGAACATATCTAGCCGGGATGCTACCATTTCCTCACCCCTGCCCTAATCCTATAAAACTTGGGGACATTATTACAAAGAAAGAATACAACAAACTCATTCATTAAAGGTAGCCCCAAGTAATGCATGTTTTAAAATAGCCAGAATGTAGAGCATGTGACTTCTGTCAAAAGTTATTTTCTTTGTTCAGGGGTGAGAGAGAACAAGTGACTCTGATGTTTGTGTATCTGAGATTTAAGGCGCAATCAGTTGCGCAATCGGTTGCATATATAGAGAGCAAAACTCCTACAACTTCCAGCATACCCCAGCCAGCCTTGTGTAGTTTTATTCCCATTCTGAGATGCCTTTGCAAATGCTCACTGACTTACAGAAAGAGCACATGCTGGTCCTTTTGATATATGCTGCTGTTATTGGCATTTAATCTCTGCCCCGTTTTAGCATTTGGTCCCACCTGCCCTTGAAAAGAGCCCCCCAAACTTCTCTGAAATTAACTTTGACCCTCAGGTTGAAAGTCTGGAGAGGGCTGCTGGAGATGCTTTCAAAAGAAATGAGGTGGATGTTGGGGCATAGCTGGGTAGTCCAAAATTGTACTTTACACAGGACCACCTTCCACTTAGAAACATAGAAACAGAGTGAGTCAGAAGGGGGTTCCTGGGCCATCTAGTCTGACCCCTGGCTCCAGCCGGCTCCGCTCATGACACGTGTACCATGTGCATGTCCAGGCTATCCTTGAACACCCCCACCAATGGGTCTTCAACCATCTCTTTTGGAAGCCCATTCCATACCCTTGGGCTCCTAATCATCAGGAAGTGCTTCCTGGCATCCAAACGGAACCTTGGTTCCCTGAGCTTTGCTCCATTGGAATGTGTCTTGCCCTCCCCTGCAGGGGAAAACAGGTCTCTACCCACCTCCACGTGGCACTGGTAGAGTGGAGGACTGTAGTGAGTAATCACTTGAAGGACTATTTGAAGGAGAGTCCTCTGTTGAAAGAGGGCTATCTAATCCGAGTCTGGTTTAATGTTAAAGATACCAGCATAATCATAAAAAGGAGAGCTCCAGGGCCTTAAAGTTCCTGGCCAAAGTCATCACCTGGATGACCGACTGGACAGGTAAGCATCCTGGTTGTGTCATCATGTTCTTCTCTAATATAGTGAGACATATGGTATTTCTGCCTAAATTATACTATGTCTTTCAGCTTGTGCATATACATCTAAATTAGCATATGCAAACTCTATGCAAATCTCTCCTCTTATTGGTGATGCGTTTTGTTGATATAGAAGTATGGCCTGCTTAATGAATAGCAGGGCCTAATCACTGGTGACACCTTCACTGTGAGACTTACCACCTATGGCAGCACGACCTCCACACTCTTCTGGAAGGCCTTTGGGGCCACACTTTAGTATGCTGTGACTGGTTTTCAAAAACGTCCTATTTAATTGTGGCAGTATTGGAACTGCATGTCCAGTTTTGTAACTGGTGTAACTGGATATCTAAAGGAAGGCCTCCTGCATACACTTGCCCAGATCCTAGGATCATCTAGGGAGGTCCTCCAGGAGCCACCTCTAAAAGAAATGAGGAAGGTAGCCCAAGGGGAAGGGCCTTCTTGGTAGTGGTGCCCCCATTATGGAATCAGCTCCCCAGGGAGGTGTGCCTGAGGCCAACCTTTTATACACTTTGGCACCAGGTTAAAAACTTTGTATTTGCCCGTTATTTTAATTGCTGAGTAGAAGGTTCTGATTTTATACTGGTTTTGTTATATTATGATTGGTTCACTGTAGATCAGTTATTCTTATGTTGCTACTAGTACTATTACTATTTGCTTGCTTTATGGTGGTTTATTATATTGGACTGTTTATGATTGTTATGTATACATTTTGATCTCTTGTTTTATGCTGTTTTAATTGCTGTGCACCATTCTTATCTTCCTCTTTTTTCTGATTACAGACCCCAAAAGGCACATGTGCCGAAGCTGTGAAAAGAGCCATTGATGCAGGTTACCGCCACATTGACGGGGCTTTCGTGTATTTTAATGAACATGAAGTTGGGCAGGCCATCCGGGAGAAAATTGCTGAAGGAACGATCAAGCGTGAAGACATATTTTACTGTGGCAAAGTGAGAAATAGTAATGAAGTGATCCCAGGAGTGGGGCGAAGTGGGGTGGGGTGGGGTGGGTAAATGCATGGGGCTATTATTATTACTAGTAGTATGAAGACCATAAGAAAAGCCATGCTGGATCAGGTCTATGGTTTGTCCAGTCCAGTGCTCTGCTCACACTGTGGCAAAGCAGCTGCTCACAGAATCCCTCAAGCAGGATGCGTGCAAGACCTTCAGCTGCCCAAGCTCCTCAGTAACGGGTGTACACAAGCTTCCAGCTGCTGACAATGGAGATAACATCCAGCCAGCAGGGCTAGTAGCCATGGATAGCCTTCTCCTCCATGAAAGTGTTCAATCCCCATTGCATTTTGACCTCACCTTTCTTCCTCTGCAAGGAACCCAAGGTAGCTTGCACAATCCTATCCCTCTTCTCCATTTTATCCTCACAACCACCTTATGAGGAAGGTGAAGCTGACAGGCAGTGACTGGCCCAAAGTACCCCAGTGGACCATGGCTGAGCGGGGACCTAAACCCAGTGCTCCTCGGGCTCACTCTTGACCAGCACACCACACTGCTGTCAGCACTAACCTGTGGCTTGTTTTCCACCGATCAAAGGTGGCACTTAGGAAACAGATAAGCAGGAGCAGGAACAGCATTTGCAAGCAGAATCAAAGTTCCTCTCCAAGTGTGATGTCTGAGCAGAACAGAGCTCCATCTAAACCTTCTACAGAGCCCTGTTTGCATAGAAATCAAACCCTCTAGGCCTGTCTAGTATGATTCTGGATACGGAAGGAAATGCATTGATTATAATCACTGGGGACAGCACACAATGCAGTTGCAATTAGGAACTTGATTTCGCTTAGTAACAGGATCTTTGTGTATTCGTTAATAATTTGCTTGGTTGATGGCCTGGGGTCATAGCTAAGCTCAGAGATCAGCAGCCGCTTCTTGCAACAGCTTTGATCTGTGCATATAGCTTCTCTTATAACCTGTATGCACAGGGAGGAATGTTCTAATACTTGTGTGGAGTTAGGGGATGCACACCGTGCAGGGAACCTTTCAGAATATCTGAGACTGGGAAAGGCTTGTGAAACGGGATAGGACTAGACCCTTGATCCCAGAGCTTCTCAGCCCACAAGCTGCAGATCGTAAGAGTCTTGTCCACAGGCAAGGTCCCCTGCAGTGCCCCCCTCCCTAACCCTAACCCTTTTCTTGTTCCTCCTCCTCATCACAGCTATCGCTCGCTCGCTCGCTCGCATGAGGGGCAGAGGGGCAGGTGGCCAACAGTGGCACGTTCTGCCCCCCTTTCTCACCACCACGGCTGTTTGGGGCAGCAGCGTGGGAACAAGCGGACTGCAGTGCTTGAAGGGGAGGAATGACTCCACGTGGCTTTTATCAGTGGGATCCTGCTGGGATGTAAGCGCTTGGCAGGAGCTGCACATGTTGTTGCTGTACAGCGGTCCCCCCCTCCTCCAAGTGGCAGGTTCAAGCATTGCATTTCCCTGAAGCTCTCTGGCTGGACGTTTGGCTCAGTCCAGGCAGTGCTCATGTGCTGTGTCTATTCCAGGCAAGTGCAGAGATCCAGTGGGGCAATGCTTGCTCTACCTGTCCCTGGGTTTCCTCCCTCCGCAGCACCAGCACCAGCTGCCTCCTGCAGAACCCATTTATGCATAGCATCCTCCAAAGTGGATCCGACGGGGAGCATTCGAAGAACGTGTGCTGTGTGTGTGAACCAGGACTTCCTGCAGCTTTTCAGGGATTGTTCCTGGTAGTAGCAAAATGTCTTTGGATTCTGGTCAGGGTGCTGTGTTTCTTTTCATTGAGTTTAATAATCTTTTTGTTAACTTTTAACCACCAAAGGCTGGGTTAGTGCTTTATCTAGCAAGTTCAGTTCCATGAGACATAAGGGGAGGGGGGACAAGCCTTTTTCAGCCAGAGGGCCAAGGTCTGTTTTGGAGAAGCTCTTAGGGACCATATTCGAGCTGTGGCCAGGCCAGAGGTGAGGTGGGTAGTGTTACCCTTTTGGGGTTCAGGTGCTGAAGACAAAGGACTCCGAAGGAAGCCGCGGAATGGAATGGTAGTGAAACTCTGACTCCAGAGTGGGCTTGCCTTTCCTTTAGGGCAGAAAGTTTTGTTTCCTGGAGGGTGAAAGGCTGGCAGTCTGGCAGACAGAGGCCCAGTGGTGCCATGGAACAATGCTTGTTGCTTCCTGCAACACACAGCTCTGTAGCTCTGGATGTATCCTGATTAGGACAGCTGCCTGAAACAATGAGAAACTGTCCCTGCAGATTTCTATTCCCTCCCATGTGTTTTTCACCAGTTCAGAACCAAATGGTCCAATTGGCAACTGGGGAAAGGGGCTAATCCAAAGGCAGAAAAATCAAGGGCCATCATGAAATCCAAAACACAATGCACCTGTGTTCCTTCCTTCCTTATTTGAGCTTTAGTTTTTGCTCAGCTCTGACCTGTCGCAGGAGATTTTGGGATTGTTGCAAAGCCTTTTTGGCCCCAGCCTGGTTTTTGCCTACCTTTGAGAGAAACGCCTCCTGGTTTTGAGACTATTTGGAGCTTTATTGTCATTGTGTGCCGTCAAGTCATCTGTGGCTTATAGCGACCCTATGAATGACTGCTCTCCAGAATGTCTTGTCCTTGACATCCCTGCTCAGCTCTTGTCAACACAAGGCTGTGGCTTCTTTATAGAACTGATCCATCCATAATTGGTCTCCCTCTTCTTCCGCTTTCGATTTTCTCTAGCACTATTGCCTCCTCCACTGAGTCTGGCCTTCTCATGAAGTACAACAGCCTCACTTCCATCGTTTTGGGAGCTATTCCTCACTTCTGAACTGAATGCCTGGCTTTTCAGCAATTTGATGTCATTTCCCTCACTCTTTAATTTTGCTCACTGGGGAGGCTTGGGCTTCACCAGCCTTTTCCTTTTAAAACTTTTCCATCATTTTTTACCTGTCTTCATTTTTCCCATTTGGACATTGGTGGCTGTCGCACTTGATCTCTTCCAGTCTGCATCTAGTTTCTTAGAATTGCATTCTTTGGCTCTCTGCCAGGCATAGCTTTGCATTCCTTTTAATTTCCCAGCCTTCTCTTTTTCTCTCTCTAAAAGTTTGGCCTGTAGTGCTAGATAGTTGAAAGCTTCCCATGTTTAACTCGTTTGGGGTGGTGGAAGCTTCAGTGGAGCTGAGGAACAGCTCAGTCACGAGGCAAGTTATATGCCATGGCTACTCAATTTGAGACGCGAATACATGCCTCCTTTTCATGAGTGTTCATTGTGTGCTCATGATTCCTCGTACATGTTAGAAGGGTATTAGACACATGTAGCGTGGATCAAAAACAAAATTATGGTTGATGAATCAAACATACATGGTCAAGCATACTATATCTCTTAGCACAAGCTAGGCAACAAAATTGTAGGGGTGGTAATTGCCTGGTTACCTTGCCTTATTTGCTTGTGAAATCTGAGACTAGGTCCCAGCCATTGCTGTGAAGAGTGTTTCATTTGTCTGTTTGTTTATTTGTGGGATTCTATGCCTATTTAGACAGAAAAGTGACCTGCTGGACAAGTTTGGGGTTATATGGCTTTTTTCCTATCTAAATATTTATAAGATCGTACCTTAAGTGTCAGTATGCCATATATGAGAAGTTAAAAAGGTTGTTGTTGTTTCATTTATATCCCTCCTGTTTTTCCTCTTGCTATACAGAAAGAGTTAACTGATTCCTGGACATTCTGTAAAACTGTTCAAGTCACAATGTGTCAACATTTTTGTATTGCCAAAGAATGACTTTCTAATGGCAAGTCCAGACCCATAGCTGCATCATAGTGGGGCCAACAGGACATCTCCCATCATCCCTGGCTATTGGCCATGTTGGCTGGGGCAGATGGGAGTTGCAGTATCAAGCACTTGGAAGCCACTAGCTTGCCCACCCAATGTGTACAGCCTTCTGTAGACGGAATTACTTCTTCCTGAGGAATAAATCTTCAGGTCAGTGGTATCTATATTCCCCCAGGTTTTCTGCTTGTGATACATGAGGCTGTTGTGGCCAGGAATGGCTTTTTTCAGACTTCCCTTGGTGAAGATGTGGGATAAGCAGAAGTTGGCAGCACCACGGAGAGCTCCACATAGGTTGAGTAGCTGTACAAGCTGACCTTCCATCAGTCAGCAGACTGTGGGCTTTGTGGAGGGCTTGTTAGTTCTGCCCCTACACTGAATGCTTTGCCAGAAATTAAAAAAAAAAAATTATATTCGTAGGATTTAGAAGCAAGAGGCACACAAATGGATAGAAGTTAGAAATTTGATTGAAGAGCAGGGAGACTGATACAGAATAGTAAAGCAAGTGTTAAACAAGGTGACTGACTTCTTTCTGCTGTTGAGAACTCCAGATGAATAGCAACACAGAGATCTTGGTTAAATGGCCAGTACGCTGTACCTCTGTGGTCCAAGTCTCCTTGGAGTTCCACCTAGATAACAACTCCTTCAGGTTTTACTCACCCAATTTAGCTTCATGCAGGTTGCAGTGGCATCCTACTTATTCATACCTTTTGTGATAGTCTAATCTTAAGATTGCATGATGTTTGCTTCTAGATATGCTAGAAGCACATGGACGTAGCTGACACATACATTTGGCAGTTCTCACATTTCAAAGTCATACTTTGAGTATGAAGCTAACCTTGGGGAAAAAATATCAAGCTAAGAGCTTTTGAGTGTTCTTTAGCAGTCTGACTCTTTAGGTTCTTCAGGAGACACAGGCATGGAAGAAATAGTTTGTGCAACATCAGCCTTATTCCATGACATTCACTAATCTTCCAGTGCATTTCCTAAATGCGGAATGAGCTTTTTCACTTAAGGTTCACTTAAGACATCACAGCAACCTCTGCCTGGTAAGAGTAATTATGCTAATTTGGCAGTTTGTGGCTGGCATGCATGAAAATGGAAAAGAAGTCATCATAGCTTATTTTCCCTCTGTGATTGTTGAACCCAAGCATTGTTCAGTTCTAGTGTGACCTT